GCAAGGGATGGAATAAACTATGTTAGTATTGAATTTAGGAGGGGTGGTGGATTTAATTTTTGAAAACATTTCTTTAAAAGAATATAGAGCTGTTCCTGAAATGAAAATATTTTCTTCTTTGAGTAATTTGGCAAAATAATCAAATAAGCCTTCAATGTAAGGCATGCTGTGAAAAGTTGGTTTAATATTGTTGTCTTGGAATAACTTGGAGATGGATTGATAATTGTTACTTTTATGATAGGAAAGTCTTTTATTGGTAATGGAATTGATGAGGGTGAGGGGATATCCGTTTTCTAATAAAGTTTTAGTTACTAATGTTGTGTTTTGGGTATGAAAAGAAGAGTGAGACAACATGATTGCGTGGTCTATCAAAGAAATGATTGTATTGACTTTATAATTTTTGGGACAATATGACGCGTAATGAAGGTATCTCCCGGACCATGTAGTTTTTCTGTACCAATTTGTGCAAATAATGTTGTCAATTTTGTGTACAGTCACGTCTAAAAAGTTTAATTTGTTGTCGATTTGTGTTTCATGTGTGAACTGAATGCTCTTTTTTTATTATTGGATTTACTGTTCGGAAAAGAAACAATCAATATATATATATATATATGTATATTAAAAAATAAATATTTTCACTTACATTGTAGATGTCCAAAAGCCTCCCGTCCCATGAACCAAAGTAACCAAACATTTTCTGAAACAAATAAATAAAATTGGTTTTAAAGTTTATCATTTACTAACTATATACATATACATATATATTTATTCATATATAATATTCTAGACGCAAAAGGTGCATATGAAAACTAAGCGTGATATGAATATTTAAATTTAAGATGTTTTCAAAACATCAAAACAAATAAAGGAGTAATAAAAAATGTAGTTTATCAAAACAACAATATACTTATTTGAATATATGTAGTAAACAAGATAGCTTTTATACAGACCATATAATTATTACAAAGAAGAAACTAAGTTAAGTTTAGAAAAATTAATGAGTCTGATGCATAATATCCAAGAACCAAACATAAAATATATTACTAATAGAAAAATCAATTCCTTGGCTAGAATTGATATTACAAATGTCACCCCCATCTGGCATATGTCAGAAACAAAACGTCGACAACATTTAAGATAACGACCCGATAATGCGCCCCCATTCCCATATCATATCTTTACGTTTATTTACAAGAGTTCCTTTACTATCAAGGGGTCGAAGAAAAGGGTTCCTTTGTACAAACAGTCAGATGTATGTATATGCCATGTGACCCATCTCAAGTACTTTTGCCTTTGCCCTTTTCCCAAAAACATCTGCCCCCGCAAAGGGTGACATATATCTATATTATGGTGATGATTGACCGAAATTGGGTGATACTTATGATAGTATCGATTTACACATTTAACTTGAAATTAAGGGAATGTGTTGAAGAAATTGGATTTTGCACTCAGGGCATGCATGTTATTTTTAACTTAAAAGTTGATGATTTTTACCAGAAAACCGAATTTTGTGTTTTCTCGACGTTGCCAGTAATTCTCAATCGTTTGAGACCAAATTTGGAAAAAGTATGTAAGATGTTTAAAGATGTAATAATTTGAATTATATATTAATTTTAACATTTAAACTATTCACTATGCAAGATGGCGGTTACAACGTTTTGACAGTTCCAGTAGTGGTAATAATAGTTTTTTGATTTTATTAATGAAATAAATCTCAAATGTGATATTGTAGTATAAGTAACATAAAAAGACTAATTTAAACATGTTTTAAATAACCATTTACGTAATTACTTTATTATTTTGCTTATATATTAATTTTGACATTTAAAACGATTCACTATGCAAAATGGCGGTTACAACGGTATGAAGTTGTGACAGTTTCAGGTGCGAAGTAAACATTGTAGTGTTACCAGTGCAAGATAAAAAATAGTTTTTATTCAAAAACATAAAATGCATTTTAGTATATGAACAAAGACTAAAAAATAATGTATAGTTCTATTAACTATATTTGTTCTTTTCCTTATTATCATTAATATTCTTTATAAATTTTTAACTTTAAATTTGACATTTAAAATTATTCAAAATTCAAAATGGCCGCTACGAAGATTAAGAGAATGTGTTGAAGAAATGGAATTTTGCACTCAATGCATGATATTTTTGGTGATTTACCAGATAAACCGATTTGCTAATTTTGTGCTTTCTCGACGTTGCAAGTCATTCTCAATCGTTTGAGACCAAATTTGAAAAAAAGTATGTAACACGTTTAAAGATTCAATAATTTGAATTATCTTGTTCTTCCTTGAACAATTTTTCCCAACCCACATAAATAATATGGCCATAGCCTTCGTCTTTATTAGCTTTGATTGGTCGCTCTAATCATCATAATTAATTTATTGGCTATATAAATAAACATAATGTAAAAATCCAATATTGAAACGAACCAAATTTCATATACCTTTCTGTCATTATATCTAACTATGTGAACTAATTTTCAATCAATTATCAGCTAATTTTCGACTACTTTGGAGCAGCCTTTTGTGGCATTACAAATTTTATAGATTTTGCTTAAATTACAATTACAAACTACATTTGTTTAGTGAATTATCTATATATCTACGTGTTTGTATTAGTATGTATAAATAGGCACCTGTTGCCCGTTAAAGCTCACATGTATGTATGTACACGCATTTCATATGAAAATTCCTTAAACACCGTTAAGTTAATCAAGTGGCTTGGATTCCGACCAGATTCCAATCCAATCCAATCGATCTAACTCTATCCACCTGAACTAGTATTGGAGTCACAATTATATACATATATACACATCCGTATCTATTTATTTATTATAATGCACATGGCAATTTTAACTGTTCACACATCTTTTACTGTTCGTTTTTTATAGAGAATGCCGAAAAGTTAGGAAATAAAAAGACCATTATGAATGTATCGATAATTAGTGGGCAAGCAGGTAACGTTAATGTTATATCGATATTTATTTATTTATTTCCTCATGTGTGTGTGTGTTAATATGTACTTTGTTGGCCTGAAGCGGTAACAGTGCGTGATTTTAGGTCAAATTGCTTTTTGAGTAATTGAATGATGTATTCGAAAATTATATAGGTACCTATTACAAATTATTACTATCGGTAGTAAATGATAGAGAGGTATAAGAAATTTTGTTGGTTTCAATATTGGATTTTGGCATTCTTTTTATATATATATATATAGACAAAAATTTAATTGTGATTATTAAGGCGACCAATCAAAGCTAATAAAGACGAGGACTATGACCATATTATTTATTTGGGTTGGGAAACAATTGTTCAAGAAAAAAACAAGATGATTTAAATTATTTAAATGATTTTATAAAAAAAGTATATATTTGATTATCTAAATATGTGGAAGAAAAGGGTAAATAAAATTAAAAGGAAGAACAAAATTTTGATTATTTTCAAATTTTGGAAAAAATATATATTATTGAATGAAAAAAAGCAAAGATTTCCATTGCCGTGCATAAATGTTGCAATGATATTATTTTCATATTGTGTATGGTGTCAATTCAAAAGAATGTATTACAGTTGACTAATATGGGATTTTCGAAATATTACTTAATCTTCAGAACTAAATCTACAACTTTATATATATAATTCAGAGTGAATCATTTACAACCGTGTATAAACGATTCTAAGAAATATTGAAAATAGTTCACGAATTTATTGATCAATGATGATTCATGAGAAAATGTTAATGAGAACAAAATTCTCATTAAATTTGATACTAATGTGTACTTGGAAATTAATAAAATATTCTATTCAACAACAAACTTAGATACACTGTCTACTGGCAAGTAGTAAATAGAATTAAAAAGTCTAATAATCGGTAACATCAATAAAAAATGCGATTTTTTAAAGCAAATCACAATTTACATATTAATTTTATACTAAAAAACGAGTGAAAAATAAAATTCTCAAGTGCACCCATTTTGTTAACTCATTTTACTCCGTCACTATCTGTCTCGCTCACTCATACCAAACATATCCTCTATCTATCTCTCTTATTTTTTTAACCAATTAGATTTCAACGAGTTTGTTAGAAGTTTGACCAAATTTTTAGGTTTTAGTAAAAGACCTATATTTTTTTCTACTGTCAGAATATAAAACTAAATACTTCCTACATAAACTATTAAATTTATTTATTTAATATAAATTATTATTTAAATATTTATGTAAAAGTAGCAAATCCGCCATCGGCATGTGGAACAAACTTTTTTTTAACGCCGATGTTGCTTAACAACATCGTTGACATTTATAAAATAATATTTAATAAATAATTAGTCGTCGAACAGGAAAACTTTCTAAAGATTTTACTTTGTTTTTCATACTTCGTAACTGAACGTTGCTAAAATAAAAAGATGAATTATCTAGATTGATTATTAATAATGGTAACAGCTTTTTGTAAATGGTATCAGGAATAGATTGATATAATATATATAATAATAAATGCCAATATGAATATTTTGTATAATTCGTATGACTATAATATTTTAAGACACTCGTTTAGATAATGAAAACTATGCAAAAATAAAAATATAAACGATTAATTACGAAAAAACGGCTCGGCCCATCTGTACTAAAAACCATCAGCATAAATTCCCAAATGATATTTTTGGAAATTTAATTTTCAATCAGGATTTGTAGCATTTTTCAAAAACACTGTCGAAACATTCAAACGCACTCAAATGTAACAAATTTCTCCTTCGTATTTAATTTAAATTTTAACGTAATAATATTTGAGATTTTTCTGTTAAAATTATTACATTTATGTTTTAGCCAGAAAGTCGACATTTCAAGCCATTCTGAATTTTCATTGATTTCTCATATTTTTGTATATCATCACAAAATGTCTGAGAGATAATTTATACTCGTATAGAAAAAAAATTTATATATTTAAAGTTGTTAGAATTAAATAAGTAATTGCAACAATTTTTCTTTCTTTTCCAGACATAAAGAAAAAAATGCAGAGGTCCAGGACAAGTGCCCAAGAAACAATAATCAAAAGCCTTAAAATTCACATAAATTCCACAAAAACCTTATCATCCCTAAAGTGACCTTAACCCAACAAAAATGTTGCTGTAAACATTAACCGAATCAACTAAAATAAATAAATAAATTATTTCACCATAATGGATTCTACAAAAGTCGACACAGAAGACAAAAATCGACACAAGATATCCAAAGGCTATTTTATATTTTTCCTGGTTAATTATTTGCTGGTGAACCAGGTTGTCGAAGGCTGGGTGCAGGAGCCTCAGGCCAGGAAGTTTTTCAAATATGCAGATTTAACAAATGTCCCACAGTTTTTGGGAAGTACTTTAAGTTATAATAATAATTTAAATGATAAAGACACGAAGCAGTATTTTAAACTCCTGCAGCACGAGACGCAGGACTCGATATTAGTTGGAGCAAGGTAAGGAAATAGAATATAGAATTTAATAGAATATAAAATTTTCTGTATCTGTGTCACATGATTCTTAGTGCGACAATAAGAGGAAGCTTTTAAAGTCTTATGTTAGGGGGCCCCCCTCGTTCGCCAGTTGCGAGTGTACGACAACCATTTAAGCCCATCGGAATGGCAATTGTTGCGGCTAATTCTATTTGAAGAGTTTAATTCAATTGAAATCAAAGCGGGCCAATTCTCTCTGCATCCATTCATATTATTTATACTTGTACTACCAGCAGCACTATTGTAAATTGTCTGGTGTGACTCTATTAGAAGATGGTAATAGATTGTTAAAATATTTGAGAATAAGAACTACATGTGCCTATGTCCATTACCCAGGTGCGGTTTAATGAGTCTCTCTCCGGAAACCGATATTATTTCAAGAGTTGCGTTAAATATAAAATCGATATTAAATTCTCGTACGTAGTAATGTTTATGTTTATTTAACTTTCGATGTTGTATACACATGGGGGGCACGTGTTAGCCGCGAACAGAATATTTTTAATCTAAAATTAAAATAATAATAATTCTACTCTCGGAACTGTTTATGAGAAGAAAGAACGGGAGCATTTAGCGAAACAAAACACTTGAGCGGACGGAAATAACCTTTAACAACACATGTCGGACTATTGCCTGGTAAAACGAGGGACCAGATGCATTTCGAAAAAAACTGTTCGATAATTGAAAGAAGATTTATAAAACTAGTTATAAAACGACACGTTGTCGAACAATTTTTGATATTGGATAAAATATAATTGATTATGTCGCCATCGAACGGTATGCTTTTACAAATAACCAAAATTTGGTAGGGGCATTTTTGACCCGCCATTTTGAGTTTTTAATTTTATTCTTTATTATGTAAAATATAGTTGTTAGTAAGATATGGCTAAGACAACATCGACGTTTCATTTGAGTTTATTATACAGATATTTTTCGTACTATTTGAATATTTATGGTGGCAACTGAATATGCCATCTTTGTTTATCTGCCTCAGAAATTTATCAAAAATAGAGAAATAAATAAAAGAATGTTAAATTAGAGAAATTAGTCAATGAATTGAAGTTCTATACTCATTTTATCAAATTAGTAATAAAATGAACAAGTTTTTGACGAATTACAGTTATTTTTTACAATATTTTTTAACACTTTTGACATTTATACCGACCACCAAATCCGCCATATTTGTTTAACTGTCATTGTTATATTAAAGATTTAAAGTTTTAAAATGTTTTAAAATAACAAGTAATTTACGAATTTATTTTGTTTGATAGCCTATAAACTTGCATACTACGTATTTATCGTTAATCAATTTGCCAAAAATAGAGAAAATCTTTGTTAACTGTCACAGAAATTTGCCAAAAATACACAAATTATAAAAAAATGTTAAATTAGAGAATATCATAGTCAATGAATTGAAGCTTAATGCGCATTTTATCAAATTAGTTATAAATGGACAAGTTTTTAACGAATTTTATTTGTAGTAATTTAATTTGTAGTTATTTTTCACAATATTTTTTAACACTTTTTACATTTATACCGATCACCAAATCCACCATATTTGTTTAACTGTCATTGTTATATTAAAGATTTAAAAAAATGCTGTAAAATAATAAATAAATTAGAAATTTATTTTGTTTTTAGCCTATAATATGCATATTACGTATTTAAATTATATCGTTAATCAATTTGCCAAAAATAGAGAAAATCTTTGTTTAGCTGTCACAGAAATTTGCCAAAAATAGAGAAATCATGATAAAATGTGAAATTAGAGAAATTAGTCAATGAATTGTAATTTCATACTCATTTTATCAAATTAGTAATAAAAGGAACAAGTTTTTGACGTATTGCAGTTATTTTTTACAATGAACTTTTGACATTCATACCGACAACCAAATCCGCCATATTTGTTTAACTGTCATTGTTATATTAAAGATTTTAAAAAGTGCAGCAAAATAATGAATAATTTAACAATTTATTTTGTTTTTTAGCCTATAATATGCATACTACGTATTTAAATTTCATTGTTAATAAATTTGCCAAAAATAGAGAAAATCTTTGTTTACCTGTCACAGAAATTTCCCAAAAATAGAGAAATCATAAAAGAATGTGAAATTAGAGAAATTAGTTAATGAATTAAACTTTATACTCATTTTATCAAATTAGTTAATAAAGAGACAAGTTTTTGACGACTTGTAGTTATTTTTTAAGACTATTTGTCATTTATACCGACCGCCAAATCCGCCATATTTGTTTAACTGCCATTTTATTTGTTTCAAAGTTTTAGTTTAAAAAATGCTATAAAACAACATAAACAATTACAATTTTATAAAATAAAATTCCATTACCATTGTACATTCCATTACTACTGTCTTTAAATTTCTATAATCCACACATAGAATTATAAGTCTATTACTCATTCCTTTCAAAGCTCCACTATTACAAATACCAGTCCCTTTTTTTTCACGGGAACACTTTTATGGCAGACATTAAATTTGAATTGAAATAGATTTCAAGTAGTTTATACTCTGCCTATTTATTTATTAAGATGTCGTAAAACTTAAGTTTAGTCTAGCAAAAAACAATAATTAGATGCCGAGAGAAAGGAGGAATTGTTCGTTAGATAATAGTAAAGTTAGCCAATTTTTTTTAAAAAAAAGGAGGAAATTTTGATATTTAGGAAAAGAAATATAAATATATATAAAATGAATAAAGTGACACATATTATAAATGAATCTATTTTTATATTGCAATTGCTTTAATTTTGAAGTATTAAAAATAATTAATATAATAATACTTAATGATTAATAATAATTGACTAATTATTTAAAAATAACTTCACGTTGGTCAGCCATTCAAAGTGAGAGATATTTTTGACATTTGATAAAAAAAATATAAATAAACAAAATAAGTATTAACAAATAGAATATGCAAATGAATTAAATAGAACTTTTGTCTTATTAATAAACAAAATGCAATTGTAATTTCGATATAAAAATAATTGAATATTGAGTAATTATCAAAAATTCTTCATGTTGGTTAACCTTTCAGAATTAGAGAAATTTTTGACGTTCGAAAATTTAAATTTGAATAAATAAAATAATTGCAGAAATGAAATAAAAATAGAAATAAATAAAATAGTACGTCTGTATTATTAATAAATATATTGCAATTGCTATAATTTCGAAATAAAAATTAAGTAGTTGAGGTATTAATATCAAAATTTCGTTTAAAAGATCAGAGAAAACTTTGACGTTTGAAAAACCAATTATATAAGTAAATAAATTAAATATAAAAATTATAATCGCACTTTTATATTATAAATGAATATATAGCAACTGCCATAGTTTTGAAGAAATTTAATCCATATCTTTTCTATTACCAGAAACGCAGTGTACAATCTAAGTCTTCCTGACCTAATAGAGAACAAAAATCAGGTATGCATAATGTTTTTATACACAAATCTAATTATTCACAAGTTAATTAAAATCGTGTATTGTAATTAATTTTATTTTATTTCAATTTTCAGCGTATAGAATGGCCTAGTAGCGGTGCACATAGAGAACTTTGCTATTTGAAAGGAAAATCAGAAATAGATTGTCAGAACTACATACGAATCGGTAGGGATAAAATACTAAGGACGTTATTTTACTAATTAAGACTCCATAAACGACGATTCCTAATGAACTCTATTTTAAACTTTTTCAGGAGCCCTTGATACGTCCAACGCCCTCCTGGTTTGTGGAACGAACTCATTCAAGCCCTTGTGCAGAAGGTATCGTAATCTGAACAACAATGGTATCAATTCTGGGATCAACACTAATAATTTACCACAAACAAATATCACTGCCAGCAGTGAAGCACAAGCTTCCAAGTTACACGAACAATTCGAAGGCATAGGAGTATGCCCTTATGATCCAACGCACAACTCCACTGCTATTTATGCAGGTAAGATAAAAGACAATTAGTGCAGTAAACGGGGAGGAAAAAGGGGTATAACCTCTGAATTTTTTTACTTTACTTTTTTATTAGGTTGATCTTAACCTCAAGTTTAAAACTGAAAACAATTGGGGTTCCGCCACCACCCCCTTGGGAAGTTGCGATCCCTTAATAAATGAGTGGATATTGAGAGCTGTTTTATCGCTAGTAAACGTTTTCAATGTTATAGGATACAATTAAAAAATATTTTTAATACATTTATCTTGTAATAAAATCATTTTCAACGTATAAAGTAAACTAGCTGTAAGTGGAATTCTGTCTTGAGGCAATTATGGCATCGTGCCTTAAGGCAAATTGCTGGAACTTCCCGTACCGTAACGAAATGTTCGTGGAATACTGAATGTTTTCGAATAGATTATTATAAATATTGTAACATTGTCTAATATTTATAAGAATTATATAAACTGAATTGCAGAGTTGAAATTATTTGTAAAGTATATTAGAACTATAGTCAAAATTAAAAATAAAATCTGAAATATTTTCGATATACAAAAAACTAAATTAAAAAAAAAAAAAAAAAAAAAAAAAAATTGGAACAAAATTTTTTTTTCCAAAATCAATTTTTTTGTTGAGACAAGCAGAAAGTTCTTTGAATCATTTAAATCGGACGCTTAGTTCTCTCAAAAATTGCCATTTTTTACATATTTAGCTCAGTATCTTCAAAATGTCTGAATCATTACTAATTGAATGTTTTTTAGATCATTCAAATCGGATACTCCGTTCTCTCAAAAATTCGATTTCTATTTTCTGCACTCTTTGCTCCGTATCTCCGAAACGGCTGGACCTGCCTTTGCCAAAAACTAATCAGCTCTTTTCCCTATCAATAGGAATCGAATGTTTTTTGAACCATTCAAATCGGTTGATCCGTACGCCCGAAAACGTGGGCGAAAATTTGTATCCATACATACATACACACACACACACACACACACACACACACATCCATTTTTTCTGAGGTATGCCAAAACGCTCAGAAACCTTCAAAACGTCGAGAAATGTAAAAATTTTCAATTCCGATTTTCGGCCCATTACAATAACTTACCCTACGGGAAGTTAATAATACTTTATGTTTTCTATCTTGATCATCAATTTTTTAACCCTTTTTAGACCCTTAAAAACAACCTCTTGATGAAAATTGTTTGAAAAAATTATTTTGAAATTGAAAGAAAATTAAGAATTTCAAAATGATATGAGTGTTATTTCAATTTCTCGGAAATAATTACCATATCCATAATTTGTTCAACTCTTAAAACTACCCTTGAATAAAAATAGTTAATATAACACGAGTACCCAGTATAATTTTGTCTAAACTCGTATATTTGTTCTTGTTACTGCAATTATTAACCTTTCATTTGACTATAATGATATAAAGCTATATTAATTTATTTAGTCAATAGTTTTGGGCACCAAATACTGCTTACTTATACATTTCTCGAAATATGGACACAATTCGACTAAATTGCGATGAGTTTTCGGGTCATAACTCCTTTAATTTCGACTCCATCACAATTTGTAATATACCATTTGAAAGGTTAATGAAAGGGCTACAACTTTTTTATCATATTTTTTTCGTAACTCCTCTCATTTTGAAACGGCGAACGGTTAAGGGGCTCGAGAGAGACTCTGATTGCGCGGCCGCGCACTATTTAAACAATCATAACTCTGTCAATTTTTGTGTGTAAGGAAAATAATAAAAAACAATAATAAGCCAGAAAGATCCGTTTCATTTTTATCTATATGCATTTATACGTATCTTTTATTCTTTTTGAGATATAATGAAAATGAATTCGATTTTTTAAAAAATCGGAAAAAAAGTTTTTATAAAATCGTGAGTTTTCTGAAAATAGTTTGTACTAAAGTAGTGAATCTGCTAGAACCCATCAAGATGTCTATAATGGAGTGAATTCTGGATGGAATGTGAATTAATCTAATTTTGGTGGAAATGGCACTTATTAAACCATATGATTTAAAAAAAAATAACATCGTATATGCTTCTTATTTGTATGATAGCTCATTCATTTTACACGCAAAAAACTTGTAACAGCACTCATTTTAAAACTTATGTTGAGCACTATAAAACTAACAAATAACGAATTTGCTTTTTCAAATCTTGCTTAATTTTTTCCTAGAACACTTGATGTAATACCGATTTATTAAGATTTTTATTGACATTATTTTGTTCATTACATGATTTTCGTTAAAATGTATATTTTAGGAGATATTTGCAAAGATACGAAGAAAAACGCCAAAAATATATGAATTTTTAGTGGCCAGTAACTTGAAAAGTATTAGTTTTTTTTTTGAAAAACTATAGAAGACATTTTTTTCTTATGATTAGTTCTTCTATCGATTTCCGACGTTATTTTGAAAAAATGTAATTACACAATAGAGAAAAGGTGTCATCCCGCCGAACCCGAATTGTTTTCACTTTTGAACTTGAGGGTAAGATGAACCTAATTCCAAAATTTCATGCAATTCGGAGCACAGTAAAAAAATTCAGACCCAAAACGATCCGTTTACTGCACTAAATGCAATATTGTAATAGAACTAGAACCAGATAATAATATTTGTTATGTTATTAGATGGAGCTTTGTTTTCGGCAACTGCTGCAGATTTTAGTGGAGGAGATCCTTTGATCTATAGAAGTCCCCAAAGGACTGAACGATATGACCTTAGACAACTTAATGATCCTGCATTTGTGGGTTCTGTTACATACGGAGAACATGTTTATGTATTCTTTAGAGAAACTGCAGTCGAACACATGAATTGTGGAAAGGTATTAAACAGAAATTAAATTTAATCAATGAAAAATTTGAAAAATATTCATGAATCTTTTCCCCCAGGTGGTTTATTCCCGTGTGGGTCGCATATGTGCCTCAGACAGAGGAGGTCCCAGGCATTTTGGAGACCGATGGACAAGTTTTGTGAAGGCTCGTTTGAATTGTTCAGTTGCTGGTGATTATCCATTTTACTTCGATGAAGTCCAGGCTGTCAGTGGGCCCCATAAGGGTGTACGTGCTGGTGGAGTGGAGAGCTCGGTTGTGTATCTAGTAGCTACAACAGCACCTTCTGCAATTGGAGGCTCGGCTGTGTGTGCTTTTGATATGGATCATGTTGCCAAATTGTTTGATACGGCTTCGTTCAAACATCAACCACATGGGATTAATTCTAATTGGCTACCAGTAAGATAAAAAAAACTTATGTGCTTTTATTTAGACAAATGGAGCAATGGTATATTATGTTTCTTTTATCCAGGTGCCTCCTGAGCAAGTTCCAGTACCCAGACCAGGTTCTTGTTTGGAAGATTCTAGGACTCTATCAGACAATAATGTTAACTTCATCAGAGCACATTCGTTGTTAGATCCTGCTATTCCTGGTTTAACAAGGCATCCTTTGATTACACGAGTCAGTTTGTCACACAGGATGTTCAGTATTGCTGTTCAACCACAGGTTGGTTGCAGAATTTAAATTAAAATTGTACTCTGGTGTATATATTAAATATTTTTAACTTTTATTTAGATAAGAGCCTTAAATGACAAAACCTACGACATGCTGTACATCGGCACGGATGATGGCCGTGTGTTGCAAGCCCTAAATACAGCCCTGGCAGTGTCCCTAAATGCAAGCAATCCTATTTTGGTGTCCGAATGGCAATTGGCACCACAAGGCGAACCCATCAGGGAACTAAGAATGGCAGGTGCTGCAAATAACAGATTTTTAGTTGCTGTAACTGATGAAAGAGTCCTGGCAGCAGATACAAGATTTGTTTGCAAATCAGCTTCCAATTGTCGGTGAGTACAACACTGCCACATTTTATACTACCAATGTGCTGGAAGATATATTTAACGAGTTTTTAATTTCCTAGTGAGTGTCTACAACTAAGAAATCCTGAATGTGCCTACGACCGACGCAACCAAATGTGCATATCTCTACAAGATCACCCATATCCCAACAAAGAACGCTTCCTACAGAGTCTAGACCCTGAAGACTACCAATCGGTAGCCAATAGTGATGCAGAACTCTGCAAAAAGTCTCAAACATGGCCAGGAGTGCCTGCTTCCAGACGAAGACCTGATGCCAACAAGGGTCGTGATGAGACTGGACATTCTGGTGATGGAAGCGGGGAAAACAAAAGAATTTCATCGGATGAATTGGATAATGAAATCGTTATTGAACTTGTAGGCTCTAGAGCATTGGCTGATGATGTTGGAGTCTTGAGGAACGGAGGAGGTTTGAATGATAATGGAGACGAAGAAAGGATAGGTAATTGGAATCTTTCTTATATCTTGCTTATATATTTCATCATATAAATAATTAAATTATAATAACAGTTTTGTGTGATAAAGCTTAATAGATAATATTAATCAATAAAATTCGCTCTATTCAATTTATGATCAATAAAAACATTATATTTATTAATTATACTTGCAATAAATATAAGAAATTAACTTGTTACTTACAAGCCTCTGCTCCTATTTTGAATCAAACACACTAGAGTCTTATACAAATAACACAAAAAACATTTTAAAGTTATTATACAGTATTAATGGCAATAAAAGAAGCCTAGAAATTTAGTATATTTACAGATTCTTCAACTATTTCGTAATATGTATGTATATTTATATGTTTTTATCTTATTCATACTGTAACGCACTAAAGGGATTAAATTAAAGCACTTGTATTAGATTTATATAGTGATTTGACAAGTTTCTTCATTTTAATGATTTGCAATACTTCCTACTCAATAATTTAGACATATTTAACTAGTAATTATGATATCTTAATTGTGCAATATAATTAAATATTAATTTTGACATTTGAAAATTCAAAATGGTGGTTATAACGAATCAAGAAGTTGTCAGTAAATGTTGCAGTGTTACCACCTTCCAGGATAAAATATGGTTTTTGAATTGTTGACGTAAAACACAAATATACTTTAAAAAGGACTAAAATATGCACATTACGCACATTGTGAATTACTATTCATATTTATTATTTTTCGTATCACTTTTTTCATTCTTTTACTTATATATTAATCTTGATATTTAAAACAATAATTCAAAATGCAAAATGGCGGTTACAACGATATCTTGGTAATTACATTGCCCTTGAGTACTATTTATTATAATTAACTTCGCGAAAGTGAAGTTATATATTCGAGAGAAAATCGTATTCGGTAATTTTATGTTTTTGAACGTATCAAGTCATTCTGAATCGTTTGAGACCTATATAGTCTGTGTGTGAGACTAAATTCGACATTTTGTTATAAGTTTTTAAATTTCGATAGGAAAGGATATGTAATTGGAATCTTCCTCAACTATCTTGCTTATATAATTAAATTTATATTAAATTCGTCAACTTGGAGCAATCATTCTAACCAATGATTCTTTTTCTAGGTGCTGTTCACCCTGACGTGGGTGCTATCAAATACTCATCGGGCACAATGCATTCTGTGATAATTATATCGAGTTTATTAACCCTGGTATGCGGATTTGCTTTAGGATTTCTGTTTTCAAGGAGAATGAGATACCACAGACAAGGTCCTTATGGGGACCAACACAACCACAGGTATTTAAACAATTTAAAATAAAAATGAAATAATAATATGAGCAAGTATTAAATTTGTTATTATTTTAGGCACTTGGAATCGAACTTTTCCACATCAGCCCAATGCTCGCAGTATGTAGTTCCTCCAAACAACAAAACAAACAATGTACCACCCAGCAATATTAATTTACTCAAAAATGTACCGACTTGTGAGAAACAAGATAATCTTCAACACGAATTAGCTAAGCATCACGAATTAAAGAATTCAACAGAGAGTTTAGATAGAATGGGTACGTTGCAAAAGGCAAAGAAAACATATATATGAATCAATTAGTAAAATATGAGAGTATTTGAATTATTTAAAAAGCCAGGTGTACCTGATCTACTAATGTGCAATGGTAAAAACATCGATTTGTTCATACTTGCATTTTGCAACTAACCTGATTTATAATTTAAATATTTAAAAGTTTCTCTGAGCAAAACTCGAATGCTCAGAAAATTTATGAAGATACATTTGAAAAGATTGTCAAAGTATCTAAAAAAAAAAGCTGTCAATGCTTTTCTACAAATAATTTAAGAGATTACAAACAATTGTTATATTAGTAAAGTAATTATTAAATATGTATGTGAAATAATATTGAATGTATATATATTTTATAACATTAGCAATTACAATTAGTCTGTTTAATAAATATCAACAGACTGAACTTTCAATTATATGTGGATTTAAGTTAGATCTCATCCCGAATAGATTCTAAATATATAAACGCCTTGTAATAGTGCTCTTCCTACTTATGGGGCTGAATATAAATATATTCA